AAGGAAGATTGTCACGGACCTATCCCGAAAGTCTAAAGCAGAGGCAGTTGAGACTCAGTTAGTCTGGTATTTAATCAATGACCGCTCTGGCCATTGAGAGAAATAAGAGAGCGCATCGGCAGCATGACAGCACACTGTACCGATGTCTCACCGCCACGCGTGGGTTGAGTATACCAGGAGCTAGCCCGCGCGTACACGGATCCGAACTGGTGACCTCCGGATTACAAGGCAAGAGCGTAATCCTTTCGGTCATTGATCAATGAGGAACAACTCCTATCCTTGGTTAGGCAAACTTACCAGGAGGATGTGCGTAGTATGCTTTAATCCAACTACCCAGTGAAAATGGAGATTCAATGGAATAGGGTAGTCGGTGCTATGCATGGCGCAGGAGCCTATGCTTGCTGTGCTAACAGCAGTCACGGTGCCAGACGCTGGAGGTCCAAAATGTCGGTGAATTCGCTGAAGCACAGAAGAGGAATCCCTACTGGAAGCAAAAATAAGCGACAAGATAGATCAGAAGCTAAAATATAGCCCGTGGTTTACAAAAATGGAAAAAATTAGGCGCGACGGGCAACTTGCAGTCTTCTGTGTCCGTATCACTTTCACTCAAGATGCGCAGTAAGATTTGGGGAGGCAAACGCACATGGAGTGGTGGCCAGGCAACAGCTTGTTCGATGGGTAAACCATTCTTCGAGCGCAACAATACCACGTCCTAACAACGAAAATTAGTCCCTTGGGATCAGAACCGTTACTTCACGCACCACGTTCCGATGGCTTAGCCACGTGTTGCGTATTGAGGCCAACTGACTCCCGCGACGGCCGTTGTTTACGCGCCAAGGGTGTGGATGGAAGAAGAGAAAAGGTGGCCGAGCGATGACTTAGTCAAGATAATTGAAGGCCTTTAGTTCGAAGTTTGCCTTGGTTAGAGCCTCATTTCTCCCTGGTTGGGGTCCCAAGGACGATGAACACATTTGGCTGGATACACTTGTTGACATGGCTAGGAGCCGACCTCAGTGGTGTTTGTGTTGTGAGCTTCTTAGTCCCCCCCTCCGATCACGATCTCATTTGCTAGCACAATATAAAAGTTATATAATATAAGTCTTTTTGCGGCACAGTAGCGGCTGGTAGCTTCCCAGAACGATGTTCATCCCTTACTGATGGCTCAATTGGCGTGCCTCGGTTGCAGGTTCTTTCTTTTTTCTTTTTCTTACGTATTGCGGCACAATAGCTGAGGTGATTTCCACCTCTAGTTAGCCAGCATAATTTAGAACGGTAATGAGTAATCGAGGGAGCAGTGTCGGAATAGTTGATATCTTAATAATCGCGGTGAATGCGGCCAGCCTTGGTGGTTTAGGTGGGAACAAACATCAAGCTAGCACATATCGGTTAGATAAACAAAGCCCGAGCGAAGCAACAAAATCAGTCCCGGACCTCGCATCATAAGATACCAGAACTAGAAGATTTAAGCAGTGTGGCTATAGCATTGAAGACGGGTAGATCAGGTTGTTCAGATGGCGGCTGAACTGTTCACTGAGCTTGACAATTTTGTTGTAAACGTTTCGTCACCAATCGAGGTGACATCATCAGTGCGTATTTGAGTGGCATGCAGTAGCGAAGAGGAGCCTCGGTGCGTTTTTTTATATACCGCCGTGGTTGCCCGTGGAGGCAAGCAATCCTATTGGCTGGGACTTTGATTCGCGTTCAGCTTGGTTGATGGGTAGATGACGTTTGACCTTGACCCATTGTGTTTCGTGGCCTTCGTCTGCTTGCTCTTGTGAGTGAGTCTGTCGTCAGTTCTGGTTGTCTAGTCACACATTCCATCGGATTCAATCGATCGAGTTGTCGGTCGTTCGCCAGTAGTGTTGCGTATACTGCGTCCAGTTCGATGTGTCGATTTATTGAATACGGTGTAGAGTACCAGGCTTCCAAAACTCCCTCGCGTGTTTTGTACTTCCATGTGCTAGGATCTTTACATTCTCGAGATAAAAATGGTGCCCTTCTTGATCTTTATGCGCAGAAACCAATGAGTGTGGATCATGTCTTCCGACGGCCGCCTTTTGTTCGGTAGCTTGTGTACAGAGCTTTATTCAGTTTATCTGACGTAGTTCTTATCACAGTCGTTGCAGTGTATTGAAACATGAATCATGATGCATATATGGTAGCCTAGCCATGTGACAGGTCAGTACAGTAAGCGGAACGAATGAAGCTAGCAGATGTTTTCGTAGCATGAGGAACTTGAAATACAAACTAAACTCGAGCAGTCGGTTGTGACAACACAAGAGCCTGACCTCGTACTTTTCGAGCACAACCCATCTTAGTGCAAAAAGATGGACCGTACATACGGTTCAACTTTCCTTTAGGCGTACGCACACAAGACACAGACTGGAAGCCAGCAGGTGACTCTGGATCGATGTCTGCTGGGCCTATCTTACACATATTCGCGCGACAACTTTTGCTCATTACATAAAATATAGTAGGTTACTAGGCCTGCGGATACTGAGAGACCTCATGTAGAATAGCGCTCTGGGATGACACGGCTTTCTTCTTAATATAGTTATTGAAGTTGGCGGTATTGTGATCGAGTAACACCAAAAACTCAGTCAGTCTTGCCAGTAACCGCGAGAAGCGCCGGTAAAAGAGATAAAAGAAGGAAAAATCGCAGACGAGGAGGTCCTGTAGGCGGATGATAATCTCTTGCTGCCCAATTCGAGCGAAACTTTGTTTGAAGTGCCCTACGTCTGGCATCTGATACAAAAGCAGTGGAGCAAATGGAGTTTTGCTAGAGGGACTGCAACAAGAGCCTTTGAGTAAACAGTTTGACTTACGTGGAAGTGGGGAGCAAGCTCAGTTGGGAAGGATCAGATCTGCATGGAGGCTGTCAAACCCGTCGTTGAGATTTATATGAACTCACGCTGAGTGGGCCTTTGATGCCACATGTGGATAAGATCAGGCAGAATCTATAACTGCTGAATCGGAACTAACCATCAGACTCAGATAACCTTCCATCACCGTTGTTAAAGAACGCTGGTGACTCTCTGTTGACTGTTTTGGATACCCTCTCGGTACTATTTGGTACAAGGGATTACCGCATGCCCATTGGTGGTCAAGCACCACTCCCATTTTTAAATAAGTGTACAAGGGTTTCTTGTGTAAATCGTCGTATCAACCGACGTGTCACTAAACTGCTGATATGTAGCAAGCTGCGGAGACTCGATGATTATCGTGAGAGGTGAAGCAATGCAGATCAGACTGACTGTCATCCTGACAGAGGGTACAGTGATCACACTTGCTTGGCAACGGTTGAACGTCATCACACGTATAAACAGCCAAACATGGTTATTTCCTTGACTTAAAGATGGTTTTTGGTTCGGTTGATAGCGCCAGTTCGTGGCGATGCTTCGCTTTTAAAGGCGTGGTTGACAAACGTCCCTCCATCAGAAAGTTTCTGCACCACTACTCTCAGGGCCGTGTCGGTGTCTACAGGGAACCCTTGAGTTCCCCATGACAAGTGCCTCTCTCAACTTTGTGATCAAAGTGATAACGAATGAACCTATCTTTCTTCCAAGTTCTGAGGTCGGAGCTAGGGCAAATGACTGACTGTCTCACGGATGATTTGGCGCTGTTTGCATTAAACCCAGGTAGTATGTAAGCACTACTAAACATGTTAGCGTGTATGACCGCGCGTTGCAACATGTTTTGCATCCGCAAAATGCGAGGTACCCATACAAGGTTGGACCGACACGCCACTAATTTGTAAGACCATGGGAAATCGTTCGAAATCGGTAATCAATTCATTTAGTCAGACGTATCACCGAAATAGTTGCACGCGTTTCCAAGGCTTGTATTGCTTTTCTTTGGTTATTCATAGAGACGGCCGAGCATAGGTCTATCGGTCAAGAAAAGGGTTTAGAGTGCTGCAAAGCGTTCAATCATAGTGTATAGATCAGAGACATAGCTGCCAGAGGTCTGACCGCAGATACCAGTACAGTGTTGCCCAACATTGGTGGGAGAAACGGATGAGTAATTGGCATTAGGACCCCAGGTGCATCGTCGGGATGCCAATCGAACTAGAACTACCAACGGCTAGGTCGAGTTCTGTACGTAACCCAGTAGACTACTGCGATATATGATGTCTGCCAGCACTGCATCTAATTCGGTGCAATGTTGAGGTAGACAGTCCATGACAGAGTGAAAGAGCACGAGAAAAGTGTTGGTGTTTATCGTCTTTCCAGCTGGAGAGCCTCAGGTAAGCCACAGTATCGGTGAAATACACCATAGAACACGGCATAATGAGTGGTACCCTTCATTGTATTCGTCCATTCCTGTCTGACCTTTAACTAATACTTACCGATTCCTCGTGCATGATTAGTATTATGAAGAGTTAAGGCAACATTTCAGTTCAGCTGAACAACTATAATCCTAGCAACGCAGTGCGGTGGATCCAGTTGTCAAGACCCATACCGCAAGGATAAGAATAAATAACAACAGCAAGATGTTGCGGCTAAAAGTGAACAGAATATAAAGAAAATGGAAGCAAGAAAGAAGTACGTTAAACTAATCAGAATAGATCGAAAATCAAGAACTGGAGGCAAGGAATCGAATGCAGGAACGCTACTGACTGCGTGACTGCACCATGTCTGATCTAGTTTCCAAGTATTGGAGTGGAACATTCCAAGGCCCCCTACCAGAAAGACGGCACGCGCACCCTTGAGCAAGTCTCTCAGTTACTTGCTTCAAGCCATTATGCCACGCTATGGACTTGCCAGCTCGCGGTTTCACCTAAGTTGGTGCAGCCACGGAGTAGAATGCACGCAGAGGAAGCCGGTCAACGGACATACAGAAGACAGCCTAGCCTAAGCAAGTACATGTGTCCTATTCGACAAAATGAATTGAACTATTAGAATTCCCGTTACATCGATCGTTAAGGAATGCAAACCGACGACATACCCCATCCGACTAAGACATAACTTCATCGTGATGCCTAGCGATAGGTGGGACAATTCGCCAGACCTAACTTCCATTTTAATAGTGGAGGTCAACATAGGCGAGTCACAACGTACCAAAGCAAGTGCGATCAGTGACAGACCTAATCACAGTCAAGCAATGCTAACTGTAACTGGAAACAGCTATTAATGGTGCTGTTCCGAAAAGCTAAGCAGTATACGTGAAAATTCCGAGAATGCTCGTAATTAGAAGCGACAGCATGCTGATGTGGTCACAAAAAAGGAAGATACAGTAATCAAGCAAGCTTTTGGATGAGAGAATTCTGAAGTACAAAAAACAGAAGAAAAGTTCAGGGCCAAAGAAGCTGATAAAAAAAGTACGTAAGAAAAATACTGACGACAATGACAGACGAGGGTATCTCGGATTGAATGCAGGACAAAGGGAAGCCAAAAGTGACTTAACAACCGGGGATTCAATCTTCTTCTAAAGGGTCAGTGATGCCGTCATGCTCCACGAAAAGTGATTTTTCCAGGATAACTAAGCCTTCTTTGTACACTTCACTATTTTCAGCGGCGTGCTCGTAAATCCATCCCAATCTTGTATTGCATTTGATGCACATGACATCGCAAACAAGGTGACGGCCAGTAATCATTATCCGGTCCTTAATCATAAGAGAAACATAAGCAAGAAGAAAAGTACCTGCACCGAGCTAAACACAACGTTGACCACACGGTTAAATAGATAGGCTGGCCCACTGGATCCGTTAAAACGTGTACTAACAATTTCTTTATCGCTTGAAAGCGGTATTCCACATGTTTTGCACAGGAACACCTTGTCACCACCAAGGTGTTCGATAAAAATACGACCCATGTGACCAGGGACAATTGTAGTATACGTCCAATCGAGGAATCCAAAGGCTTCCGTATCCAATTGGTACGTGGGTTGTAACAGACCGAGGGGCTGAAATGTAAAACAGACACTTCGTAGGTAGTTGGATAGTTTTAGCACAACCAAACGGAGTCGTATGGATAAGGTGCCTGACAAACACCTCGTGGAGAACAGGACGCTATTGCCAGCCAATTCGACCTGGGAATAGTGACTTCCTGTGCGTTTCGTTCGACTAAATGAGTTCGCATCTAAAAAGTGAGTGACAGAATGAGAACTAATGGCATCCAAATGTCTGGACTGCGGCAAAAATGCCCCCTCCCGATCAAGGGCCATGTATACCACTTTGTGTGATGAATGGCTGCATGTAACCTGGTAAGACTGAAGTTGATCCACATGAATCCCAGAAAAGGAGCCGACTCCTTGGTCATCAGTTTTCACTGAGATCACCGTCAAGCTGTGGTGAACAATGGGTCTCGTGGAGAGTTTGACAATATTCATATTATGATCCTCCTCAACCCAGACGCTCTTTCAAGCTGATAGTGCACCTTCGACCACCACTCTATTGGCATCTACAACTCGGTCTGTTAACGATGCGCAAAATCGAAGCCGTATCACCACTTCATCGGCGGGGACGCTAATACAAAGTAGTGAGTATAAAAAGTAGAAGTCTACAACAAAGTTGGAAATAAAGACTTAGACCTATGCGGCCGCGGCTAGTATGAACATCGTGGAAACATCTGGCACGAATAGGGCTGAAGAGGAGATAATCAGAAAGATAGCCGCAAGGCCTAAAGCAAACGCAAATCCTGCTCCATCGCGAATCGAACTTATAAAAAAACAAATTTGTCGAACTAGAAAAACTTTCAAAAAAACCCAGTCCCGTAAAAGCCCAGGATCTCAGAATAAAACAAAGCGACTCGTGATCGTTTCTCAATACCCCAGAAGACAACAAAGAGACTTCAGCTGATAGGATTCTCGACGAGTAAGCCTTTTTAAAGTAAACTGTGAATCACCAATTCGATGAAGGCGAGCAGTGCATCAATATCGGTTTTGCTTTCCGTCTTCGTAGATAACAAGATGATTCATCTAAGGTCCGCCTCCTAAAATTCGCCTGTCAGGATGATGAAGAATGTCGCTGCATCCTCGGACGACCGTCACACCACAAGGAAGAAAAATTCCTTGTCTTGAAAGATTTTCCCCTTAGAATCGAGTCAGAATCAAAAAGCCAGTAGCGAACTCCGAACCAGCCGAGTGAACCGCGAAAATGATCTTCATATTGTGCAGAAAATCCAGAGAACCCGATGGAAACTAATCTACTTGCAACCCAGTCCTCAAGCTTCAAGAGCAGATTGCGAGTGATGTTTGCCAGTATGCGCAAACCCAAAAATTAGTTACACAAGATTTCGCATTGCATTTCCGAGAGCATAAAAAATCAAAAATGCATCATCAGTACTCCGGTACGCACAACCGACGCTTCGTTGCCGCGCAACCCCTACCAGTCGCACGTGGGCAAGTGATACTGTGAGGGCCGCCCGGTCACCAAGCAGGCTCGAACCCACTTCCTCGGATTACAAGGCAGACTTGTGATCCTTAAAGTAACGGGCCGGTAAAAGCGTGTCGCGTCTAGGATTCGAACCTTCGCCGTGAAGTTGGTAGGCCAACGTGCAGATCACTAAACTACTAATGGTTTTCTAGGAGTTAGGCAGACCTGCTGGCTCTCGCTGACACATGGTTGTCTTCAGAAATTCCGGGCAGATATTAGCATATCAGGATATCAACATCACCATCATTAATACGCGTTAGCTGAGGGTGGGATACACACAGCTAATGTGTCACAATACAAAAAGAAAAAGTACCAAAATTCAAGGTGAGTACTATAATGATAAATATTACATCACATATTAGATCGTGATTGAAGAATCTAAAGGAAAAGGTGGTGGACAAAGAAACTCACAACACAAACGCCACTTGGGCCGGCTCCTAGCCATATCAACAAGCGTGACCAGCCAAACGTGTGCATCGTCCTTGGGACCTCATCCAGTCAGTCGGAATGCACCAACCGGCGTCAACTTCGAAGTGAGGGCCTTCATTCCGCTTGTCTAAGTCATTGCTTGGCCTCCGCTCATGTTTCATTCACATCCCCGGAGCGAAAACAACACAAGACGCGGGAGTTGGCAGGCTGGCATGCGCAACACGTGGCCCAGCCATCGAGGCCTGGTGCCTAATATAATGGTGCTGAGTGGTTCACTCGCTCTGCCTGCACCAAATATGGGGCGCTGAACACGCTAATGGCTCTCGCGGTGTTCCCACCAGACATGAGATAAGCTGCGAAGGCAGCGATGATCCAACATCGTTAGCCGTTTTGTTTGTCGATCTGATGGGCCAGGTTTCATGACCGTATAGGAGCGTTGAATGGACGTCTGCATTATATACTCTGTCCTTCAAGGTGGGGATATTAACTCTCGGGAGCTGATCGCTCAAGTGGACAGACTGGCGTGGAGTAATTCTCTGCCAGAAGATTTGCTTTAGGCGTTCACGTTACTGAAGATGTAGGCGACAACGATGGAGTCTCAGAGACGTTATGGTTCCGGATTCATGATGCCTATCTACAGAGTCCCATTGGGCTCAGACTCTGGTTTGCTGTAGTCGGTAAAAAGGAATGGTGGAGGCAGAAACTCTAATCGTAGGCGACTTTAATGCACCCAGTATCGACTGGAAGTTTCTTCACTGTGATCTTTCCCAAGATTCCTTTGAGGCGGGGTTTCTTGATGTTATTTCAAGTGCAAACGGATTCCACATGTCCCAACACCAAGATGGATGATCCGGGGTCGAACAGCACACATTCTTGATCTAGTGCCCACTCGTGCTCTCCGATGTCTATGGCATAGAGATCATCCGACCACTTGGCCGAAGCAACCACTGCACACCGTCTTGCTATGCACGACCAGGGGACATTTTGTCGTAGCTTCTGGCGTGTTGTTCCATCCATATTATAAGAAGTGATAAGCCCTACATATTGAAATAACCCAAAATCCCTTGGTCTTGAAGCTGTATGGAACTTACCACACTCGAGGATGACGTCGGCCATCGAAAAAGTCGTCACTAGATCCAAAAGCAGGCTTTGCCCTAAACGTCCCCCTTAGACTAGCCGAGGTAAGATTCCTGATGAGCAGAGGACGAAAACTGAGGGACCTATTCGTCCACACAAGCAACATTAGGGTACACGAAGCAAAAAATGACCAGGAATCTGTGCAATCTGAAAAAGGGCCAGAAATGGACTCGGTACGAACATAGCCTGGACATAAAACCCAGAAACTGTTCGGATAAATTTTGATAGTACCTGAGGCGAAATAAACTGGGGGTAGTGGTATTCTTGCATTATGCTCCCATGAAAAAGGCACTTTAATTTACAACGATTACGAGAGATTTCAGCGACTAGCTTCGCAGTACTCTTTGATCCACTCCGTGAAACCGTCGATATCCCCAACATATAGTCCGTCACTTGAGGAAACCCAAAGCATTCCCGTGGTAGTCAGGATACTTCTCGAAGTGAATCAAAGCTCCGCACCAGATGCTGATGGGTTACACCTATTATTCCTCAAAATGGTACCCGAATACATAGCCGATTCAATGTAGCAAATATTCCGGCGCCAATTCGCGGAGGGTCTCTTACCACCAGGCTAGAAAGTAGGGACTGTGATGTCAAAGCACAAGAGGGAACGGATATGATCATGCGGATTATCGGCCAATGTCTATAATGCCACAGAAACGCTCGTCAAGCATGCTCTCCACGTTCATTGTGAAAGCCTGTGCACTATTTCCCTGGCTCAGCACGGATTCTGTAGAGTACGCTCTGACATCTCTAACATGCTTTTGCTAAAGAAGCATGAGCCAAAGCCACAGACGACCGGAAACACATGGATAATGTTTTCATTGACATCAGCAAGGCGCTCAACAAAGTCCCACAGAACCGACTTCAAGTTAAAGTCAGAAGAATTGGCATTATTGGAAACGTCTTCTCTGAACTGCAGACTTCCTGAAAGTTCGAATCATTCGAATAAAGATTAACGATTAACGCCATTCCAAGGCTCTGTCCTTAGATCAGCACTCTTCAGGCCACATATTAATGACCTCCTTGCTGCTCTGCAAGCCGACCGCTTAGTTAACGCAGATGACCGTAAGCCTTGAAGACGCTGACAGACTAGTAACCGTGCTAAACCAGCTGTACGACTGGTCTATCAAGAGACAGCTCCTTGAAAGTCGGGATAAGTGCGCTGTTCTCCCGACTTGTGTTCCGGATCTATACGGTGAATAGGCGAGTGTTTTTAAAAGAGTGTCGCTAACAAGAGGGATCTAGAGGTTACAGGGTGACATTACCTTAGAACTAAATAGGATACATTAAAATCGCAACAGACAACAGGGTGCTATGTGCTTAAGGAATATCGTTCCACCGATTCACTTGGGAGATTTTCAGAACGCTATTCGATGCACATGTCCGCCCGATACTCGAGTATGGACTTCTAGCTATCCATACTCTCTCGAAGCTTGACTGCGCCTTGTTGCGAAAAATTCAGAAGCGTGACTCGTAGTCCGTCGTGGACTTCGACTTCAGGAGCTGAACCTTTTTCCTGTAGATTATCGTCGTCATTGGTGAGATCTCATCTACACCAGCTGGATCCAAAGGAGGGAATTTGGGAGTGAGCTGCAAACACTTTCAACTCAAGGTGGACAGCTCGATACGTGGCAACAAGTGAAAGTTGTACAAGCGAAGAATACTTAAAGTCCTCCCCGAGGTAGCGTCATCTCACAAGCTACGTCTTCTGATTTTTATGTTTGGAATCGTAAAGGGAAAACTTGTTTCAAGTTTCTCAAACGAAGACTCCCTGCCTCAGTTGTGAAAAGGCTACACCGTTTGGTTAGTCTCAGCTGCAAGCTGGCTTTCGAACGCACGCAACTGGAATTTTTGAGTCGGTGTATCACTGATAATTGCTACCCACAGGAATTCATGAAGTGCTTACGAAAGAGCAAAATTCGCCCGACTGTGTTCAACTTCAAGCGACTGGCTTTGAGTTG